GCAACCACAAAGACAATAAGCAGATATTACACACTCTAATCTGGCTCGGATACCAATTGTTGCGGAAGACAGCTATCGGATAGAGCAAAATCGCAACTGATAATTTTGAGAAAATAAAAATAAAGATAAAAGAGACACAAAATTTACGTGGAAAACCCCTAAAAATTTAGGGTAAAAACCACGGGCAACGGTAGAAGAATTTCACTATGAGAAATAGGAATTACAACCTCTCTCGATCTACCAAGGAGAAAACAATGATAATTCTCTCTAGATAAAAAGGAGAAAACAACTCTCAAGAAACTCTCTAAAATCTCTCTAGTATTGGAAGAAAGCTAGAATGCTTTGGGATGATTTTGAAGCTAAATGAGCTAGGGTATTTATAGTTGAAACTTAAGGACTAATCTTATAAATACCCTAAATTACAATGACTAAAATTAATTATCCCATTACCCTATTTCAACAAAAATTAGGTGCCTAATTTTTGACTTTGACAAAGCACCATTTGGTGCCTAAATTATTTGACTTTTAACAGTTTTATAATATGATTAGGTAAAGCCTGTTTGGTAAATCCAATAAGGTTATTTCCCCTTTGATCCTCATTCTAATTTAATTAATGCTTCCAGGAATTATAATTTCAAGTAGGGTGAACAAAACTCGGCTCAATTTGAAAAATTGATTTTTTTAGAGTAAAATATGTGTGATAAACTAATTATAAAAAATCATTTAATTTTAAAAAGTTATAATCGAATCACCCAATTAATATATTTTTATAGTTAAACCTTCATTAAAAGTAAACAAAATCTAACGAGGATTGATTTATTCATAAAAATTTTATGTGTCAATAATTTAAGCCTTAAATGAATATATTTAAAAATCAAAACAAAACTTAATTAATTTCCTTCCTCGATTAATTAAAGAACCTCGTTTGTCTTCAAAACAGCATTCCTCGCCTACCTTATATCCCTTCCTTTTATGGTTCTTCCCACATATGACATAGGAGATTGCTCTAAACTCATGATAACAATCTCACATGGTGGTAATGTTTTCCCTTCTTCCTCCAGTATCATGTCGTAGTTATCACCAAAATCTTACTTTTCTCCTCAGTGGCTTCGTTAACATTGACATGTTAACATGCTTCGATTGATGAAACCTTCCTAGAGAGGAACATAAAAATAAAACGATTGAGGTTTGTTCTTGTGGTGGTTTAAGAGTTAAAAGAAATTCAATGAGTTGAAGAAGTTGTTGGGAATTTCAAGTATTCCAAAGTACTTAGAGTAAAGAAAAGATTTATGGTAAAAGAAAGGAGAAATTCTTTGTGGTGAGAATTTGAGGGGTCGCTGGTAGAGTTGGAGCCATTGGAGTTGTCGAAGAAATCATTGGATAAGAAGATATCATATTCATAGAGATCTCCCGCGAAGGAGTAAAATTTGGAAAAGTTAAAGAAATCCTTCCCCAAACAAATTTTTTTTTTACCCTTTCATTAAAAAATATGTGTGTATAGGATACTAAGGTGGACATTACGTGTAAATTATAAAATAATAAAACAAATGTTTTATAACTCACTTTAAACACATGTTTTAAGGCCTAAGATGGTTATTAAAGTTTATGAAAGTAGTGTAGGGATCATAATACATTATTATTACACATTTTTAATGTCTAAATCTTCCACAATGACCTATAAGAACCAAAACCACAAAAACATGGTTGAAATCACAATACAAGCATACAAACTACACATATATGAAATACAAGTAGTAAAAAAGAGTTAGTAGTTGTTACCTTCAGCTCATAAGAAACAAGGACTCTTCTAGCTCAACCTTCCATAACTTTCTCCTTATTCTTGTACTTGGAAGACTCGCCCACTTCTTTTACTAATCAAAGACCATAAAACATCTCTAACATCGATATAATGATCTTAACTAGAAAAGCTACAAGATTTCAACACGAAGATAAAGTAAAAACACCTAGAGAAAGCTCTTTGAGCTTAAATCCTCTCAAAGTTTCTTTGAGATTTGTGACCCAAACCTCATCTTTATGTCTTCGTGTTAGTATATGTGCGTGAGCTATATACGACACTTAAAGTTATGTGATATCATGTAGCATTTATTGATTTTAATACTAGAGACTAGGTGAGACCAAGTACTATAGATATTGATTATTTGATGTTCAATGACATCGAATAGCGTGTTGTTGGTAATTGATCATGGGTGTAAGACATAGAGTTGTGGTTTTGATAATGCTCGAGTGTGCACACGATGGATCCATGTTTTGTGACGTAAGCTCTCTTGAAGAGTCAATTATTTACAAATTTTGATTAGTACAATCTCGACTTCAGTTGCGATCTTTCAAGTTGTGCGATTCAATGGCTAGCATACTTGTGAGCAACAAAGATATGAGAAGCAGTTGAGTTGATGCAGATGTCTAATAAATCAGAGTTATACAATTGAAGTGTAGAGGTTTTGCATGAGAAATTGGAATTTGACACAATATATTCAAGCGATGATATCGAGATTGTGTATGACAAGTATTCGTAGGATCTCGTTGAGATGCATGACAAGTTTACTTGGTTTCAGCTGGTAAAAGAGACTTAGAGATTTTGTGTGGGATGAAATCTCGATTAGGTTGAGTTGACCAATAAAGGGTTTAGCAGTTGTAGACCGAAATATGGTTAAATGTTGTCCTTGTGAAACGATTCGGGCGTTCGTTGCTGGGCAACAAGAATCAGATTTAATGGCTTTGGACTTGTTCCGGTTTTGCTAAAGGCTCGGTGCGAGAGATGTCGTCTAGTTAGTTGTACATATTTTTCATGGATCGCGATATTCATATCGTTGTGCATAAATTTCTCCTCGATGTTCTGACTCGATGAGAGTTTGAGATACTTTTGATGTTTTGATCTAAGAGTGAGATGTTGTTCAATCTTAGTAAATTTCAAAAATAAAATTTATTTCTAGGAGGAGAGAATTATAACGCCTCATTTTTCAAATCAACGCTTAAGGATTGATTCCATAGATTTATGGACCATGTCAAGTTCATAATTAAAATTGTTGGGTCAAGTGTAGGCTTAATTAGATGTGATTTGAGCATGTTGTGCCTTAAAAATATAATTTTTGCATAGTAGACTAATGCGGGAGGACAAAAAATATAATTAGATCATTATTAAAAATCAAGATTAATTTTAAGGGATTTCGGTCAGCCTTAGACGTGAGTTTTATGACACAAAGCTGGTGAATCTTTGTTTCTCTTCTCATTGTCTCCTCTTTCTTTCTCCCCTCAAGTGCCATAATTCAAAATGTAAGTTTTTGAAGCTTCGTTCATGCTCTCTTAAGCTTTAAAATTTGTCTCTTAGCCTTCAAATAACATCTTTTATTATTAGAAACTCATATTTTTTGTTGCTAGCCAGAGAAAGCGAGTGGAGAGCATTTTAGTTCAAGAATAGAAAGAGAGAGTAAGTGTAGATGAAAAATGAATTTTATTACGAGATTTTAATATCAAGGTAGTGTATTTCTAGTATTTTGTGGTATTATGATTTCATCAAATGTGATGCTTTTGTCGGTGATAAAGAAAAAGACTATTTAACATGAAATTTCATATTTATATCTTTATTGGTTTACGTGACATTTAAAATAAATATTATCATATTAGTATGAAGTTCACATAGACAATCACATGATATGTTACCATAAAACCTTTAAAATTTGAGGGTAGATTAAGTGAAGAGTCACTAAACTATGAAGTCTGACTCTATTTTAATCACCGAATTAATTTTTTTTAAAATGCTATCAATAATACTATCGATTGACAATATTTAATGAAAATGATGACAAGGCAGTTAAGTAAATTATATAATTATACTTTTGATCCTCCTTACCTACTCATTCTATCAATTTAGTCTTAATTTTAATTTAATTCAATAAATTTAACCTACCAATCGGATGATAACACATTACTATATGATCAGAGGAATTTTCTCCTAATTTTAATTAATATAATTTATCTCATTTTTCATCAATCATATGTGTTATGGTTTAAGTCGATTAGAAGAGAAATAGAGGAATAGATAAGAGAAATAGAGAGAATTTTAGAAAGAATTAAGAGAGGAATAGCTAGTTCATTCATAACATCCCATTCAGATTGATTCTACAGCATTTTATTTAGTTACAGGGCTCCAATTGTCATTTAATAATGAGCCAGTTGTCTGTACTATTAACAACCTATAACAGACTAATATTCTTCTCTGCTTGCAGGTTGTTGGGCCACCAAGCTGGGCTGCTTCACTTTTCCCGTATGAAGACTTGGGCCGACCCACTTCTGCCAGCACCCTTATCAGGTAACTTCTCTTCATCAGGTAAACGCTTCAATTCTTTTTCTCCTCTTCCAATCCCTAAATTCACTTTTTCAATTCCCTCTCGAGCCTCAATCCCTAACCCTAGATCATTGTTTCCCCCAATTGTTTCCCCAATTTCTTCCTCTCTTCCCCGTTCATCTCCTCGTTCCTCTCCTCCAACTGTAACAATACCCGCCGCTGGAAAGGATCCTTGTCCCCAAGGATCAAATTCAGGAAATTGGCCTCGAAGAACCGTATAATCTTCCCATGTATCACTGGTTTCATCAAGGTTCTTCCAGCGCACTAGCCACTGCGTTACAGGTTTGTTTTGTCTATTTATGATTCTTCTTCCCATAATCTTATATGGCTCGATTTTAATCTGTCCGTCATCGTCCATGGCAGGGGGGGTTCCTTGAAGAGACAATTGAATCCCCGACGTGCTTCTTCAGGAGGCTCACGTGAAAGATAGGATGTAATCTAGAAGAGTCTGGTAAGTCTAACTTATACGCAACTTCACCAATCTTCTCAATAACTTTATAAGGGCCGTAGAACTTAGCTGCTAACTTTAAATTCTTGCGCAGGGCCAACGAAGTCTGACGGTAGGGTTGCAATTTCAGGTAAACTGAATCTCCAACTGCAAATACTCTTTCTGTTCTTTTCTTGTCTGTTTGTTGTTTCATTCTATTACTTCATGCTCAAGTTGTAGCTTCACTAACTGTCTGATATCTTCTCTACTTCTCATTAAGTCACTAACAGACTGCACATTAGTTTCTGCTTGCCAAACCATAGTAGGAGGCTTGTAGCCATACAATGCCTCAAATGGTGTAAGTTTAAGGGCAGTGTGGTAGGTAGTATTATACCACCACTCTGCATGTGGCAGCCATTTAGCCCACTGCTTCGGCTGAAAAAAACATAAACCCCTCAAATATTGTTCCACACACTGATTCACCCTTTCTGTCTGACCATCAGTCTCTGGATGGTATGCAGTACTAAATAGAGTTTTAGTGCCTAGTTGCCTCATCAGTTCTCTCCAAAAGAGACTGGTAAATGTCTTGTCTCTGTCAGAAATGGCCATTTTAGGCTGGCCATGAAGTTTATAAACAGTATCCAAATACAATCTGGCTATATCAGTAGCTGTATAAGGATGTGATAAGGCTAGGAAGTGGCTGTACTTAGTAAATTTATCAACTATCACCAAAATGCAATTTTTCTTCTGGGATGTAGGCAAGCCTTCTATGAAGTCCATAGTAATAATCTCCCAAGCCTGTTGAGGAATAGGCAATGGTTGTAGGAGCCCTGGTTTAGGAATATGTTCTACTTTAGTCTGTTGACAAACTGTACATCCTCTAATATAATTTGCCACCATAGCCTTTAACTTAGGCCAATAAAAATTAGCCTTAATCCTTTGATAAGTAGCCTGTGTTCCAGAATGTCCCCATGAGGTGAATCATGTAAGAGTTGAAGAATTTGTAATCTTAATGTTCCAGTACCTCCAATATATACTTTGCCCTTGAATCTAAGAATACCCTTAGAGTATGTCCAGCAAGGGTTAGCAGTAGGACTTACTGGTAATATAGATAACCAGTCAGTTGCCATTTTATCCCCTTTATAGTTGTCTTCCACTTCTTGCACCCAACTAGGAATGATTAGGGTAGTACCCATAGCCATATACTGACCTTGATCTTCCCACTGTCTAGAAAGGGCATCAGCAACCACATTTGACTTACCCTTCCTATACTGAATAGAATAGTCGAGCCCCAATAATTTAGTCAGCCCTTTCTTCTGGATGGCAGTAGTTAATTTCTGCTCTAGCAAATATTTTAAAGGTTCATGGCCATTTTGATGATAAAAGGATTGCTTTCTAAATAATGCCTCCATTTAGATACTGCCATAGAATGCAATATATCTCTCTCATATATAGATAGGCAGTATGTCTAGGGCTAAGAGTTTTACTAAGGTAGGCAATAGGTCTACCATCCTGAGATAAGACAACCCCAATTCCTCCTGAACTGGCATCTGTTTCTAAATAAAAACTCTTCCAAAAATCTGGTAATGCTAGCACAGGGGCAACACACATAGCATACTTCAGATTTTCAAAAGCAGTTAGAGCCTCAGTACTCCAGTGAAAATTGTCTTTCTTAAGCATTTGAGTCAAAGGTTTACTGATGGTACCATAATTCTTAATAAACCTTCTGTAATAACCAGTCAATCCCAAAAAAACCTCTCAAAGATTTTAAAGATTTTGGCACAGGCCAATTCTTCATAGCTGCTACTTTAGTAGGATCAGTAGAAACCCCAGAAGCTGAAATAATATGTCCCAAGTACTCAACTTGAGTCTGTCCAAAGAAGCATTTAGACATCTTGGCAAACAATTGATTAGTTTTCAAAACTTCCAGAACCAATTGTAAATGAATGATATGATCAGCCATAGAAGTACTATAGACTAGAATATCATCAAAAATTACCAAGACAAATTTTCTTAAGAATGAACTAAATAATTCATTCATTAATGCTTGAAATGTAGCAGGGGCATTAGTAAGCCCAAAGGGCATTACCTTGAACTCATAATGGCCTTGATGAGTTCTGAAAGCTGTCTTATAGATATCCGCAGGCTTAATTCTGATCTGCCAATAACCAGACCTTAAGTCGATTTTAGAAAAATAAACTGCTCCACATAATTCATCCAGTAGATCTTCCATAACAGGAATAGGAAATTTGTCCTTCACTGTCATACTGTTTAGTTTCCTGTAATCAACACAAAACCTCCAGGTACCATCCTTTTTCTTAATTAAAAGATATGGAGAAGCAAAAGGACTTTTGCTTGGTTGAATCACAGAGGAGAAAAGCATATTAGCAATCTGCTTCTCTATCTCAGGTTTTTGAATATAGGGAAATCTGTAGGGTCTTAAGTTGATTGGGGTAGCTTCAGGTTTAAGAGGAATTGCATGGTCATGATTTCTTGTAGGAGTCAGTCCTGTAGGTTCAGCAAAAATAGCTTGATATTGGTCCAGAAGAGACTGGATAGCTGTAGGAGTAGTCTTGGAATCTTCACACATATTGAATAACACTACATGTCCCAAAAGAGGAGAATCAGAAACTGTCATCTTCAATAGGGTAGCTCCTGAAATCTGCTGTAAGAAATTTGACTGTTGTTGACCTTGTATAGTGATTTGCTTCCCCTTATGCACAAATCTCATTGTCATTTTATTAAAGTCCATCAATATTGGACTAAACAATCTCATCCAATCCACCCCTAACACCATATCACTACCCCCCAATTGAAGTAGTCTGAAATCATGTATAAAAGAGTGCCTTGCATCCTCCATTCCAAACCTTGCTGAACTGTAGAGTTGCTGCCCATTAGCTACTGTAATAGCTAGAGGATGAAGAGTATTTATCTGTATGCCAGCCTCAGCCCATTGAGGTGTTAAAAAACTATGGGTACTCCCACTATCAATTAGTATATTCAATGGTCTTCCCTGAATTGTTCCCTGAATCCTCAATGTATTATGACCAATACATCCAGTAATGGCATTCATAGATATTTCTAGATTCTCTTCCTCCTGTAAATTCTGCTGTTCTGGATCATTAGATAAAATTTCTGAAGGTAAGACACTTTCATCTTCAATCATCATATTCAACTGTTTTGCTTTACACTGATGGCCTGGAACAACTTTTCACCACACTTAAAGCATAAATTGTTTTGTCTCCTGTAGTCTATCAGTTCTGTTTTGTGTTGTAGTGGATGTATTCTTCAGTGTAGTGTTAGTTGATTAGGCTTAGAACCAGGTAGAGGAATTGAATGAGCTGGATTTTTTACAAAAGGTCTGAACCTCTTACTCTCAAATTCCACAGAGAGCTCATATAATTTAGCTTGCCTGCTTGCCTCAGACAATGTTTTAGGGTCTAGAGCTTTAACTCTATGTTTAATGTCATCCCTTAGTCCACTAATAAACAAAGAGACAAAAAATTCTTCACCTAAAGTAGGATTCTGCAGAAGCATGTGAGGTTGTAGTTCTTCAAATCTATCCTGATATTCTTCTACAGACCCTTTCTGGACCAGTTTTGTAAATTCCTCCACTATATCAACAAAGGCTTTATCACAAAACCTATGACATAAATCAGCCTCAAACTCATGCCAAGTCACATGATGTTTTTGCATAATATACCCATCAAACCAAATCTCTGCTTTACCTGTCAGGTACATTGTAGCTACTTCCACCTTCTGTTCATCAGCAATACTACAAAATGAAAAATATTTTTGACATTTTTGTAACCAACCTCTGGGATTACTTCCATCAAAAAATGGTAGCTCAATTTTTGGTCTATGCAACATAATCCCTGACATACTAGAAGACCCTCCTGTACCTCTTTTATCCACTTCTAAAGCCACTAACTGAGTTCTAGCAGCACTGTTCTCCCCCGTTTGGTTATCATTTTTGCAGCTAGCTATATGAGCAGGCAAGACATTTGGTTTAGACTTAAGAATACCAGGCTCATCCGGTTTATAAGTAAACCGAGTCTTATCATTGATTACTGTCACCTTAACAGGTTGTTTGTTACTCATATTTGATGAATCAAGGGTATGTACCTGATCCTCAAACTGATTTTGGTCCTCTTTTCTGCCAGTCAAAATATTCAAGATTTCCTCCACATATCCATGATTTGTAGCCAATCTAGACTCCAGTGTAGAAATCCTCTCTTCCTGAGTCTCCTACCATTTAGGTAGATTAGACTCATCTCGTCCTTGTTTCACCAGTGCTGTCAGTTCTTCCATCTGCTTCTGCAACCAGCTAATCTTCTGCCATATTCTGATTTTTCTTGGGCATACCACCAACTTGCCAGAAACCGAGGCTCTCGATACCAATTTGTTCTGGTTTAAGTCGATTAGAAGAGAAATAGAGGAATAGATAAGAGAAATAGAGAGAATTTTAGAAAGAATTAAGAGAGGAATAGCTAGTTCATTCATAACATCCCATTCAGATTGATTCTACAGCATTTTATTTAGTTACAGGGCTCCAATTGTCATTTAATAATGAGCCAGCTGTCTGTACTATTAACAACCTATAACAGACTAATATTCTTCTCTGCTTGCAGGTTGTTGGGCCACCAAGCTGGGCTGCTTCACTTTTCCCGTATGAAGACTTGGGCCGACCCACTTCTGCCAGCACCCTTATCAGGTAACTTCTCTTCATCAGGTAAACGCTTCAATTCTTTTTCTCCTCTTCCAATCCCTAAATTCCCTTTTTCAATTCCCTCTCGAGCCTCAATCCCTAACCCTAGATCGCTGTTTCCCCCAATTGTTTCCCCAATTTCTTCCTCTCTTCCCCGTTCATCTCCTCGTTCCTCTCCTCCAACTGTAACAAATATGATGACACTTTTATGAAATTTATAAATAAAATAAATTTAATGAATGTGTCATTATCTGAATAATAAAATAATTTATTAAATTAAATTAAAATTAGAATTCAGCAGACCAAAAGTGTAATTATATAAACTTAATATAATAACAATTTAAGCACCAATCCGTCATGGCGCTGTTGTGCTCTGCGTGTCTGTTATGAAGTTGAAGTTCAGAACATTCTCAACTCTGCTGGTTTTACTCCTCAAGTTACCCATGGACGACAGGTATCTTGTGGCGATTGGTTAATGGATATGAGTGTTCATCTTTCACTGGAGAGATTTGTTGATTTACTAATTTTATTGTATCAGTTATGGTATCGTCGAAATTTGTTTGTGCATGAAGGCAAACGTCTTCCGGGTTGGCACATTGTTGCTTCTGGGCGTGCTTTGCCCGTCGTCTTTCATCCATGTTTCTTCTTCCGATGATGCCCAGTATACCAGTGCTGTTATCACTTCATGGTCCAAACTTCACCATGGTGCTATAAAAATAAATGTGGACGGTTCGTTTGTTCCAACTTCTAGAGAGTCTGCTGTGGGTATTATTGCTCGCGATCACTTTGGGACAGTCCTCTCGGCCCATGCTCTTCCGGTTCCACAACACAGCACCCCAGCTATGGTTGAAGTTACAGTAATAACGCGTGGCATCCTTTTGGCTTTGGAGATGGAGTGTGATTCTGCAATTATTGAGAGTGATGCAAATAACATTGTTACTCAACTATATTCTGATGCTTTGGATCTTTCAACGGTTCGTTTCCATTTAGAAGAAGCTCGTTCTCTACTTGGCACTTATCCTCACACCTCTGTGCAGCCCATTCGAAGATCTGCAGACAAGGCAGCGCATGTTTTAGCAACTTATGCACTTCCATTGCACTCTCCTGTTTTCTTTTACTTTGAAATCCCTTCTTTTCTTAATTCTGTTGTTATGGACGATGCTTTATTGTTCATGGAATATTTCATGTTCCCTCAAAAAAGAAGCACCTATCCGTCGGGTGATCTAGTCGAAATGTCTAATCGTGAGGTGCTTGTACAATAGCTTATCTGGAAAAAGAAAAGAAAAACTTGACACGTAAGCTTAAAATATGCTTTGGTGGCAATATCTGGTTGGTTTAATGACGCCAAAAATGAAACTTAATACATAGTCCAAGTCTCCAACTTTCCATGGAATTACATATAGTTCCAATGAAAATTTAAAGAGTAAAATTGACAGAAAATAAAAACATTTTTTTTTTGCAGAGAAACACAGCAGCAGCCATGGCAGCTCGCAAAAGAGCTTCAGCAAAGCCAATGCCTCCTCAAACGCCAGAAACAACCATGGCCCAAATCGACCCGCCTATCGCTCCACCTAAGAAATCCTTAATCTTTAATTCTGCCTTTTCTTTTCAATCCCATTTTTACCTTCTTTACCAACACTACAATATCGAGCAAGACCTCAGGAGATCTATCCTCATCAATGCCGCCCTTTGTGTCGCCGGCTTCTTCCTTACACAGAGAATGATACCTGTTGCTTCTAGATATGTTTCGAAACGCGGTTTATTTGGATTTGATATTAACAAGAAGGGTACCCCTCAAGGCAATGTTAAAGTGTAAGCCTCAAAGTTTTTCTGTTTCCCTTATTGAAAAAAATTGGGTTTCAATTGCCTTTGATTTTTGTTGATTAGGTTATGTTTTAATTTGCAATTTTGATTGTATTAGCTAAATTGCATTTGGATGTTTTTTCAAGATCATAAGCTGAGTGTACTGGCTAGATCTTTGTCTATATGTATAAAATTTTGCGTTGTTCAATAAATAATTCTACTTTAAAATATTATTGTCAACTCAATGACTTCATGAATTGTCGATAAGTTGGATCCTCAATTGTGGTTTTGAGTTTTTATTAGAACCTTTGTTTTCTTTTCTAATTCTGTTCGTAGTGCTTGCAGATGCTCCATCATGCTCTCGAATCATGTGCTGAAGTTTGATTTTCTTTTTCCATTCATGAAATAATAAAAATACATGGAACACTCTAGTTACTGAAGGCTGCTTTGGATTTTGCAGGCCTGAGTCATTGGGAATCGTTGTGGGCATTGTTTTCTTGGTTTTGGCTATTTTGTTCCAGTATTTTAACTTCACAGCAGATTCGAATGTAAGTGTGACGTTTCCACGATGTATCATGCTGCTTTTCTGCATACTTTGAATTTTGCATTTGTACAGTTGTATTTTACATTGTCAGCGAAATAGTTTTTGAAATAATTCAAACACTAGCAATGGCTTGTTGTGGGCATTATATTAGGTTTGATGTTAGCTTATTCATGCAGAGTTAATGCTTTATACGATTTAAGAGCAATCTGTTGGCTATTGTTTATTCAGTGGCTCGTTGAGTATAATGCAGCCTTAGCATCCATCTGCTTCATGATTTTACTTGGCTTCGTAGACGATGTCCTGGATGTTCCTTGGAGAGTGTGAGTATATCCTTAGCCTTAAGGTTTTCATGTAGTCCACAACAGCCTGTAAAATATTTGGAAGGATGTCTATGGCTTCTGAACTAATGCTTAACAAGTTCCTCGCTTTCCTTTTGTGAAGAGCAGGAAACTAGTATTACCGTCAATTGCTGCACTTCCATTGTTGATGGCCTATGCTGGACATACAACTATCGTCATTCCAAAGCCTTTTGTTTCATATGTTGGGCAAGAGGTGTTGGTTCTAGGTATGGAACAGTTAAGTTAATTTGGCAGTAAGAATAAGAGCCTTTAGTGATGTTGTTGGTGTTTATTCTGTTGGTCTCATTTTCTTGTGGTACGATGCCTTTTCTTTAACGTCAACCTAACTCTAATAGAAACTGTAAACTCAAAGTTCTGGCTACTGGTCGTGCTGTGGGTCATCTTTGGCTCAAATCATTTAGGGTTTTCACCTTTTCAGATTATTTCAATTGAGGTTCCAAGTTGTTGATCTTTGGTGTTAAATCAGGGTGTCAAATAAGGTTGTCCAAATATAGGGGACTTTGGGTTAGTCCCCTGCCAGGCGACCTTTCCATTCATAAATTATTCATGAACACTTCTGCACTTAATTTTTATGGTAAAAGCACGGCTGTATAACCATGAAGTTTCAATGTTGTCTTTGAAAAAGGGGGGGGGGTGGCGGCTTAATTATAAGCTCTCAACAATGAAGCATATCAAGGAAAGGATTCTGTTATCACATAAAGCATGCAGTATCCCCCTGCCACAGCCACACACACACATTTTCAGGAAAAAGGAATCTGTCTTTGAAGCAATGACACTCCAAATTTTTACCATGTTAAAATTATGTATCTATATGCTCATACATATTGGAGGATATGTGAAGATATAAAGGAATGTGTTGGATATGTCTTGGATATAGTTAGAGTTAACATTAACCTTTCTATCTGAGAAAAGAACAGAGAGGCCTAAATGTTGGAGTTAACATTAATCTTTTTATGTGACAAAAACAGTGCTCATACATTACTCTTTGCTTTCTGTCCCATCTTAAGTAACCTTTTCATGATTTATCTTTTTGAACTGGTTTTTTTGTTTATCTTCAATTCTGATTTCCTTTTTTATTTTAAAAAAAAGAAAGGAAATCTGAATTTATTTTTGTGTATAGAACACCAAGTCAGTGAGCTGTTTATCCTTGCAAGGAACTCACGACTAGGTTTGTTGTGGCAGGATGGGTGTACAAATTATATATGGGGCTTTTGGCAGTATTCTGCACAAATTCCATTAATATTCATGCTGGTTTGAACGGCCTTGAAGTCGGGCAAACAGTTGTGATTGCGTCAGCTGTAAGCAGAAATGCTAATGATCTTATATAAATCTGGCATTATAGCAGTCTAACTTCATTTTGCAATACACAGATTGTGATGCATAACTTGATGCAAATTGGAGCATCTGCAGATCTTGAGTACAAACAAGCTCATGCTTTCTCTATTTATCTTGTGCAACCCTTATTAGCCACTTCCTTGGCTCTACTTTCCTACAACTGGTAATAATTCTGGCATCTTACATCCAGCTGTTTGCAGCTGCTACTTCTTGGCTAATGAAGTCTTCCTAATGGCTTTTTACTTCTTGTGTTTTAGGTATCCTTCGTCAGTTTTTGTTGGGGATACATACACATACTTTGCTGGAATGACCATGGCTGTAGTTGGAATTCTGGGACATTATAGGTGTGTGTTCTTTGCAATAAGTTTCATTTGCCTGGTCTTTGGTTACATATTGCAGTACCTATATACCCACATGTACACTTGAATGTATGTATTGTGTACACACGTCCCTTCACCCAAATGTCATAACAGTTAACTCAGTGCCTTCTGGGTTCTGACTATTCATTCGGGAATTAATCTGTATTAGATTTATGATAAAAAAAGTGATTCAGTAACCTTGAAAGCCACTTTGAAGTCCATGTCTTAGGTTAACAAAATTGATAATTTACCATTATCCTGTCATTTTGGTTATTGGTAGCTATTTTCTGGGTAATTTAACACATATGAATTGCCTAAAAGCAGGTACAACTAAGTTCTAAGCTTTGTGCTGCTATCTGCTATTTTGCTGGACTTACATGGCTTAATGTTCATTTTTTTATGGTCAAACTAAAGTATTTTTGCCTACCATCAGCAAGCTTTAATGCAGAGGGGCTATGCTTATAAATATTGATTATTTTTCTGTCTTTTTCCACTTTAAATTGCTTGTTGCAGTGAAACACTCCTGATTTTCTTTCTTCCTCAAGTGTTAAACTTCCTCTTGTCACTTCCTCAGGTTTGCGCTACTGTTCTCTCTCTGTTACTATTTATAACTTGACTAAATAATATGCAAGATATCTAATTTGCATTGACATCAATATTTGTTTAGCTTTCTGGCTATGTCAAATGTCCCCGTCATCGTCTTCCAAGGTAACTCTTGATACCCATATCATACTTGGATTGCATACATCAAAATTTTATCATCTCTTTTATCATTAATGGCTTGTGCATCTCTAGGTTCAATCCTGAAACCGGACTACTTACTGGAACACGTGACGGGACACTCATAAACTTTTACCTGAGAATAGTTGGGCCAAAATCGGAAAAGTCACTTTGTATCCACCTCCTCTTTGTTCAGGTGAGTTCTCATGTTTGCATTCTGCCTTCACTTAACCTGCATTTTGTTTCTTAATCTCCAAAGTACAAGAGGAACCCAATTTTAGTGAATTCTACCAATCAAATAAATTTCAGTTTCGTATCATCCAATCATAACAAATAGTTCCCGGACCAATTTAAACAAAATTGCACTTCGTAACATATAGTTTGTGATAAATAGTTCTAGCTATACTTAGTAAAGTTGAATGATCTCCGAGTACCGAGCATCATCCATTTGTTTACCAGTCTCGTGTGTTTGCCATTTTCAATAGGCCCTAGGATGCTGCTTCTGTTTCATGCTGAGATACTTCCTGGCTGGTTGGTACAAATAAGGTAACGACATTAAGAAGTGCAAAATGCTTTTGTTATACGGGTTTTTGGCGTAGAATAATTTAGCGAACACGAGAATATGTTTTTCTGCCGAAACAAATGAGCTTCTATCTTGACAACTTTATGATGAATGCTGACAAAGTTTTTACTTTCATGAATTTTTCATTTTATATAATGTCATTGTCACATGAAAATTTACATTTTGTGGAAGATATTAGATTCTGAGAATCCAATACTTAAATACCGTACGTTTTTGGATTGGCAGGTTCAACTAGTTGATGTAGAAGCTGAGGCAATGCCGTGTTGGAAACTGTACATTGGTTGAGATACTTTCAACAACATTTTTATTATATATATATACTCAGTTACACATATATTGATATGGAAATGCAGAATAGGATTGGGGGTTGCTATTTGCAATATTTTAAATGATTATTTCGACCAGAACTCCATGGTCGAGTAACAAAAATAGTCTGTTTGTGGTGTGTGGGGGCAGTGATTTGATCCTGTCAATGGTGTATGAATTGAATAGAAATTATTCTTATTAGGTGCACGTGCTTCAAAAAATGGCATTAGTTTTTTGGTACAATTTTAGTTGCCCACGTACTTGAAAATCCCCACAAGTAATAACGACTCAAACTCGGACATGGTTGCTGCTGGTGAATCCCAAGCGAACGGGCCAAGAAACACTAGGGTGAGCAAATCTCAATTCAAAGGATTGATCGATTTGAAAAAAAAAGGTTGATTCGTAATTTCTACTAAATTTGTTTTAGAATTTGAGTCATCTTATAAAATATCAATTCTCCACCAGTCAATAATTATAGATAGATCCCTCTGCTTTTTGAAGCCTCCAAAAGAGCACATGAGTAGCATAGCTTTTGAATCAATTACATAGCGTAGACAAGACCTCTAACAGACTCACATGATTTATCATAATTAAATCTAAGATTTGATTATTAAATCTATTTAGTCTTCTGACTTATGAGTAGCCATAATAATCACATGTCTGCTACCATTAGTTAGAGTTAATATAAATATTTCTCAACCACGAATGAGAAAGGAAGATACCATATGAGAAATGGGCCATAATGGTGGGACGATGACCTGAATGTGAAGGAGAAGAGGTGAGCGGCTGTGATGTTTGTTAGTTAAGGATTTTGATATTAGAAAGCAATAAGAAATAAAATATACTGAAAAAAATTATTGATGTTAATGGAAAAGGGTCAATCCACCCACTACAGCAAATAAGCTTATATAATCCCAAATGATCAGCTAACAATTTAAATTGTTAATAACAAATTCTCAACAAACCAATAACAAAATATAATTATTTTAGTTCTTCTAACACTCCAACCCCTTTATTCTCTTCCTAGATTCTCAACTCCTCTTATGCCTCCACCTCTCTCATAAAGAAATCTCGGTCATTCTTATATCGACTACAATTCTCTACCTAAACTAAAAGGGTTAAACTGTCAACTGTCGGCACATTCCATTTATTCCATCAACAAATATCTAAATTTGTTCTTCAAATAAGGGAAATAATTATAGAAGAATCAAGAATGTGATCAACAGGAAAAAAAACGGTGTTTCAAAAAGTACTGCAAATATATGAATGGGATGCCTTTGTTTTTCTTTTTCCCACATTGAAAGCTTCGAGTCTATATAAATATATAATTTTTTATGTGAAAGCCAAAAGACATGCCAAGAATTGACATGAGTAAATAAATAATTCTTAGAATGAAAAGAAAATTGTGACATCCTAATGGAAAAGCTGTGCTGGTATTGAAGTGGGTGTTGTTCAATCGAAAAAACAATAGTAAATGGAGTAATAATTTCCAAAGTAGTAGAGTTTGTTTCGGCTCAAAAAGGCAACACGACATTATATTAAAAGGTGGGATCAATTTAGGGATGTCTCACTGCTGTTATTAAAGACTACCCCAAGCCCACATCTAGTCTTCATAGAGTAGTGTTTTCCTCGGCCACTCAAACTGCCATTTCCATGTCAACTTTCCATTATTCCCCATGACTAAGCACCCGGCCCCTACATAGCACACAGTTGAATTCTGCATTAAAAGCTTAGAAAATCTTATTTGCACAGTAGGCAGACAACAAGAGTGCACGCATACAAAGAAATACTTTAAGTATGACATAGTCAAGAGAAACAACACAGGCTTATGATTACAAACCATGAAGCAGAAAGTAGAGACCGTGCATTGTCTTTGTGTTGTGCAGACAATTATCATTGCATCTTGTAATGTAAATTGGTTGTAAGAGAAAAAAGATAATTACCTCAGATTTAAAAAAAAAAAACACTCGCTCGATGTTGGAGCCATCGTAGGATATGCCAGACTAAACCTTCCCCTTTAAATTCTCGTGCGCCTTTCATTTCCTTGGGCTCTTCTTCACCTCTCTTTAAAGCTTTTTCTCACACAACACCCACAACCTCTCTCTCTCTCTCTCACACACACACAAACATATTATCGAGAGATGGGGCCAGCAGCTTGTGGCATTCTCAAACAAAACAACGTTATATTCCTTCAATTTTTCGTGATTTTGGTGTGGAGCTGCATCCCAGATAGAACCAATCTTTGTTATAACCACTCTTTTAATACCCCAACCATTCCACCTCATTTAAGCTCCTCCAGCATTCCCTCATCTTTGAAAACTCTTGCTCTGGATGGCTACTTCAGTTTCGAGAACCTTGAACATGCCGCGGTCACATATGTCACTACCTTCCCTCAGCAATTTTACACCCAAAATCAGTTTCTGATATTTCTTCCACTATCAAACACATCATGGATATGGGTTCTGCAACAAAGTTGACAGTAGCAGGTAGAGGCCGCGGTCACTCCCTACAAGGTCAGGCTCAAGCCTATCAAGGTGTGGTTATCAATATGGAATCACTTCGACGACCAAGCATGTATGTTGAGAACGGTGAGGTGCCTTACGTGGATGTTTCCGGTGGCGAAGTGTGGATTAACATCTTGCATGAGACTCTTAAATATGGACTTTCTCCCAAGTCTTCGACTGACAATCTTCACCTAACTGTGGGAGGTACTTTATATAATGCGGGAATAAGTGGTCAGGCATTTCGGCACGGACCCCAGATTAATAGTTTACCAACTAGAAGTTGTAACAGGTACGTTTAAGGAGACAACAACAACGTTTTATGAACTCCAAGACAACTCCATACAATCATTTCGTGGAAAATTGTAGGACTCCATCACACAGGGTCTAGCAAAACTCAAAACAAACAGTAGAAGGGAACACAAGGTTTTCAATAAAATGAATGAACTCAAGTAATATGGAAACAATTTGAATCTAACTTGGGATTTGAATGCAGGAAGAGGAGAAGTGATTACATGTTCAGATACGAAGAATGCTGACCTGTTTTATGGCGTTCTTGGGGGACTAGGACAATTCGGCATCATCACCCGTGCTCGAATATCTCTTGGACCAGCAGCAAAGATGGTAAGAAAAAAAAACTTCTTTCCTTGGGTTCACAAGGGCACCGGGACTCAAACCTTATTTATCATCGTTGACAGGTGAAATGGATCAGGGTTCTTTACTCTGAATTCTCAACATTTTCTAATGACCAAGAGCAGTTAATATCATCCAATAATTCATTTGACTACGTTGAAGGGTTTGTTATGATAAACAAAACTGGTCTCCTCATCAAATGGAGATCTTCCTTCAATCCCAAAGATCCAATTCAAGCAAGCCAATTCAGTTCAGATGGGAAAATACTTTACTGTCTAGAAATGGCCAAATACTATAACCCAGAGAAGATGGATGTTCTGAACCAGGTAAGACTTTAACAAGAATGTTCAAGCATCACCCCATATCATAATATTAAATTGAGGTTATAGATGTTGCAGACGTTACGACTTGATTTATTTCCTAAAAAAATCATTATTTTTTAAATTGCTGAAATGGAAGCCTTGCGATGTTGTGGTGACCTTGAAAAACATTATGATGAGACCATTACGCTGCACTGCTGCCGTAATTTAGTACCATGCAGCCAATATGTTTAACTGATAGAATGGAACTAACCAGTACGACGCATATTGCAGGATATTGAGGAGTTGTCAGAATTAAACTATATCCCATCTACACTCTTTCTATCTGAAGTTTCTTATGTGGAATTCCTCGACAGAGTGCACTTGTCTGAGATAAAACTCAGATCAAAAGGATTATGGGAAGTTACTCATCCATGGCTCAATCTTCTTATACCCTAAAGCAAGATCTTTTGAATTTGCCCGAGAGGTCTTTGGTAATATCGTGAAAGGTCCTATCCTAATTTACCCTGTCAACAAGGCCATGTAAATTTTCAGTATATATATGCAGTTGCTATTTACAATTCTTAGATGCCAAATTCTGAACCTGATATATCTGTATTGCAGGTGGAATAATAGAACATCCATGGTTACACCAGAGGAAGATATATTTTACCTGACATTCCTATCATCTGCAATCCCCTCATCCACAGGAACAGATGGCTTAGAACACATTATGAGCCAAAACAAACGTATTCTTGACTTCTGTACCAAGGCACAGCTTGGAGAAAAGCAATATTTGCCCCACTACTGCACCCAAGACGAGTGGCGAGTTCATTTCGGCACTCACTGGGAAACTTTTGTACGGAGAAAATCTGCATACGACCCTTCGGCGATCCTTGCTCCTGACAGAGAATCTTCCAATAGGCAATCTCAGTCTCATAACAGTGCCATTTTTTCCGAGGCCATATATTAAACACACAAGGTTGCCTACACCTATAAGTTACGGCCAATGAAAATTTCCTCTTGTTATTCACCACCAACACTCCCAAGTAAAATAGGAAAGCGGCTGGTTATCAGACAATTTTGCTTAGGAATTGAAGCATTTGGCAATCACCAAAATTCACTTGTACAGAGAATTAAAACATAGCCTAATAAGGACATTTTAAGTACATTCTCTCTTCCATCAAGATACAAGGTAAGGCTACCCATAAATGTTCACTTACTAAAAAAACAAATCCAAACAACTGACTCTAATGAAAAGGTGAGACAAGATAGAAAATACCAGAATCTTTGAACTAAAAATTAGGGGCGAGTAAAACTCAAATCTAAAAAAATTGAATTTTTAATTCTAAATATTTGATTTTTTCCGATTGGACTCAACTCGTAATTTTATAACTAGATTCAACTCCAATTTTATATCTATATAGTATATGATTATAAGAATTGTTTAAACTATAATCAAGTAATACCATAACATTATGAATATTTATATTTAAATTTAAACAGAAACTTAAACAATAAGACTCCACTCAAAATTTATAAACTTAACTCGACTAAACAAATTTCAAATAAAGTTTGAGTTATAAAATAGGACTCGTCAACTCGATTAAATTGATTTTTTTACTCAAATTGCATACTCACCCCTGCCAACAACCCACTTACGTAGAAATGAAAATAGAGGCACTCCCTTTCTGCTACTTGTCTCCGGCCAAAACCTGGTATGAGTGTTGGAATTAAAGATAAAAAACCATAATATATCAGTTGAAGAATATCAAAATTTTCATGAATTCCAAAGAAGATCACGCATCAAAAGATTAGAGAGAAAGAAAACCCAACTTACAATGTTTATTGATTCGTTTGTTTAGGTTCCTGAACAACCTTACTGGATTGTCGCAAACCAAAGTAATTCAATCTCCGATCACCCCAATAATAGTATACAGTAGAATGATCTTCAAGAATTATCCATGAGAAATGATTATATCATGGTTAAATATTTTTATTTATTAGTTGATGAAGTAGGTGGAAAAATTATTCTCAAGTCCCCAAATGACAAGGAGTTGATAATCATTATTAAGAAACATAAGGTTTAAAGATTATAAGTTTAATTATAACAATTTGATATCAAAATTTACATCATAATTTAATTATTTTTCAACATATAAAAGATATTCACATTCATTAAATTTTCTTAGCAATTTGTTTCAATTATTTTAGCTGCAACATAATGTCCGTCATATCATTGTACATTAAATTAACTAACCCTATTCACATATGTAATGAGGTAAGGAGAGGTAAGGTAGTAGGTTGCCCCCAACGGGGTTGAGAGCAACTTTCGTGGAAGATCTCCGGCAGTCAGAATTATGAATTGCCTACCGTGGGATTTGATCCCACGACCACAAGAGCCTTGCGCTCTACCAATTGAGCTGGACGGGTAACGGGTAATTCTTTAAGTAAATTACACATATAATTATTAATATTTAATTTTTAATTTTTCTCAGTGGAATTTTAAAAATAATTAATTAGTTGAGATCATTAACGATAATAAAAAAACTAAGCAGCCACAATTTTCAAAGGTAGCAAACAACATCGTCTACTTCAGTCATGTAAAGCATATAAAAGAAAGTCAAAATGATTTCAACCCTCTCCTTGTTCGTCTTCTCCACCGGGACTAAACCTTACAAATTAAGATGCATGATGCGTGATCAATCTTACACTAGGCAGTAGAACGGACAGACAGTTTTCTAGAACTAGACCAATCAACAACATAACAGGCTACAACTCCGAATAGATACAAGTCAACTTGAAAGATACATAATAAGCTATAAAACATAGCCCAAAGATGTATTCCACGATTATGAATTAGTCTAAAAGATGCATAACAAGCTATAACTCTCGAATAACAGAGTGAGGCGGCTCAAAGCTTCATATCAAGTTACAACCTAGAAGATAACAGAGCGAATTAGACCAAAAGACACATAACGAGTCACGGTCCAAGCATCAGAATAACCCACCCGATGCACGTAAAATGTGAAACGTGAATTCTAAAAGATACAAATCAAATTTAAAAGCATGCGTACAAAATACTTGATCAATAGAATTAGGTATTCACAGAAAATACAGATATTTATATACGTAGAATTATCTGGTCAAAATACCACATGTTATCACATCCAACGCATAAAACAAGAGTTTAAATAGACAACATCAATCAACTAACGGACACTAAATAGATTACCAACGTATTAAATTTACTCAAACATTGACAAGACAAAATTGATTCCAACAAAATACTTGAACTTTGCCTTACGTATTACCATGACACAACAGTAATCCAAATTACCATGTTTTTTATTACTCTATTTAATTACTGATTTTTTATTTTTATTTTATTATTATTATTATTTTATATTATATATTATCTTATTACATTCATTTATTTCATTACCTGGTTTATTATATTTTTAGTAATAATTAAGGGACAAAAAATATATTGACAATAATGTTAACCTATGAGGTCATCCCTTAACAACAATTAACATCACAATGAACATTTTATAATGGTAGAAAATATTTAATGATCATTTTATAACTTTTAAAAGTTCAGTGACCAGATTGTTTGAGTACAGTTTAAGAACCTATAGTGTACTTTACACAAAATTTCAACAGCCATGGCACTAAACAATAATTTTAATCACGAGTGAAAACTAACACACGTTGACGTTAAGGATTTAAAGTGCGATTCTCCCAAAAAAATTCAATAAAAACAAACTAGGAACCAAGTATCTAGAGATTTCAAAGATGAATTTATTGGTACAAGCTAAAGACTAGAAAAACGAATTTGGAAATTATCAGCCAACAAATAACAGCTGAGAGGAGGATTTAACTACAAAGAAGCCCCCGTATTTACATCATATGTATCCCCGTCCATGAAAATGGTCAACTGAAGTTCCATTAAACACTGCAAGGCAACAGAGCATTGGACAAATCTCCATCAAGATACTCTCATTCCATGTTTACATTTGGTTTCTCCAAGCTGTAAATCCGAAACAAGTTTCAGATATGTCGGATTTTCGTTCCTTGTGTCCGTCCCACGGCACATGGGTGATTGTTCACTGCAGCATGTGGCATATTGCTGGAAACATGTGAAGAAGGGCTGAAACTATGTGAACCATGATTCAATCCTGTTGCAGATGTGTGGGTGGATACCTCAGGAGTAGAAAAGAGGGGATGATGGGAAGCTACCGCACAGTTCATGGTTTGCGCATATCCTAATTGAACTGTTTCGCTGCGGAAGACAGACAACACACGATAAAACAGATATTATAGGTCAGACTCGTGACAGATCAAAAAAACTCATGCAGGATCAAAACTTATGATTCAATATGATGAATAAAGTCTAGAGCGGAATGAATGTGAATATCCACATTCTATACCTATTATATGCCGATTTCCCTTTCGTGATACTTCTGCCTGAGGAAGTAGACTTCACTTCAGTTTTATGTGTAGGGAAGTTTATCGCACTGTTCAAGTTATCCTATATGAACATTATATACATAGTATCAGTTTACTAATATTATTTGCATTTCATTCTAATCAAAACAGTACTTTGGACTTCGGAGCCCATTAATCATAAAATTAATGAACTTATGGTTGATGCTTACTGTTAGATTCAACCTAGAAAATGCCTGCATCAGGATCGATCCATTTTGATCAGCTGAATTTCGTAAAAAGGGATGCTCAAGTAGCATAGCTGCCGGCGGCCGCTCCGCTGGATTTCTTCGAAAGCAACAACGAAGGAAATCCTTTCCTTCTGGGGATAATGCTTCTGGTATAGGTGGGGTTTTGTTCAGAACTTTGAACATAGCTTGGGGCTGAAACAAATCAACCGTCCAAACATTATAATATGGATCGAATTATAAGAACCTTGGTAAAACAATTTTCATATTTTTAGGTCATTTTTGAGAAACAATCTAAATCATACTACAGAAAATGAAAAATTGGACTAACAAATATGTCTAGGAACCATAAGGAAAGTACATTCTAATAACAACAAAGTTATCAATATTTAATCTATTTCTTAGCATATTGATGGACTTAATTTAACTCTCTTAGAAAGCATTCACAGAACATTGAAAATAAAGTTCAGACATAGACAATGATCAGATTGATGGTTTTGAAGATAGGCTTACCCCTTCAAGCTCACTCCAAGGAGGTCTACCATTAACCATCTCAATGACGGTACAACCCAAGCTCCAAATATCAACAGCCAGAGCAAGATTTGAGCTCGAATCTTTCTGCATGGCTGCCTTTATGACCTGCCATAGAAAACAGGAGTAAACACAAAGAGTGGAAAAAAGCCATGGAGAGCAAAGAATTGTGTATAATTCACTATAATGTTGGATCACCTCGGGAGCCATCCAGTGCGGGCTGCCCTTCAAAGACAGCTCATATGATAGACCCGTAAGCTGCAATTTAAAGGGGATGGGGGATTAGACTCATAAGGACTGCCCTTTGAATAAGGCTCGTTTCATCCTACTAACACATTCAATCATCATGCCTCAGATATTACTCTAAAGATTTCAAATCTATATAAAGCAAGGCTTTCACCAAACCTGATAGAGTGCATGATTTCAGATAAACAACCATTAAGGAGACAATTGACACCAGTTGTGGCCCCAAGGAGAATAAGCAAGGGTCACCAATCAGTTAAACAAAGAACAAACACCCTTGAATGAACAAGATTAACATACGAATAGCAAGACATTCTCAATAAGAAAGGCACTAGCATCAGCTACACATTTGTAACAGTAGCCGCA